TTGTCAGTAGCAGTTACGCAAGTGTCACAATACACCTAACCGGTTTGTTCATTGTAGAAAAGAAGCCATAGGTGGATCCCCAACTCTTCAGGAATCCTCGTTTACTGCTGGATTTTGCGGGCGCCGGCCAAGTCTCTTCAGGACGCCTACGGGTGCTTGGTTTTCGAGTTGAGGCTTGCCCATTCTGTAAAGCTCACTCCAGGAGGTTTCATACAGTCGGTCTTGACTAACTCGCCGAGCTGGGCGTGTCAGCAGTAGCAGCGTTGATGACAACCAAAGTGTCCACTAAGGACGCAGAGGTTCCGCCATCCTGAGGTGGAACGCCATCGGCTGGATCGTACTGGATCGGCTGGAACGCCATCGGCCGGGAGGAGTTCTGGGCGCTTCTGCCGATTATTATGATCTCTCGATAATATACTTGCCTATTCTGCATATCCAGGAGCTGCAGAAATACTAAAAATATTCGTGTTATTTAAAAAAAAAATGTTTTTAACAAGATGGTAGCACAACACAGAGCTCATTTATTTACCTGGTTGATCCGAAAATGCAACAAAGATTACAGCCTTTACATACCCCGATTATCCACTTTACTGGCATTGATCACGAAAGTAAGCTGAAAATGAAAAGGACGTTTTGTTAAAAGCAACATGAACACTTCTAAAATGCATTGCTTTTAGCAAGATTAAGTAAAATAAGACGTTTCTAAAGGCTGCAACACGAAAATTACAGCGTCCGCAAGCTTATGTTTATATATTGTCCGGTACAACACACTGATAGTTGTTTCTTGCCGTAGTTCTTAACGGTTCGTTTACTAAAACAACCTGAATCTGATGCACAGTTGCTATGGGTGCCTGCCATTTTGCATCAACTTGAGGGGGTATGGCAGGGTGAACCACAAAAAAACTGGGCTTTTAATTGTAACGCTGAAAAATCGGGCGCACAACGAAAAACGAATTCCCAGAAACGCAGCCTCGAGCGCCCACTCTAAGCTGTTTAAAAGTCGCGCCAAGTGTGCCACATTGCCTGGCGTTTAATAATGGCGGACGGAGATAGGAGGCCGGTTTGTTTCTCTTCGTCTTTCGCTGTTTTATTAATTTTAATACCATTTTTTTATTCTTATTATATGTTTGTGACTAGTACATGATGTGTACTGAGATATAATGTTTTGTTGAAAGTGTTTATTTCTTCGCAAATATGCCGCTAGTCACTGCTACGTAAAACAATGCTAGCAGTTTAAGTAAGTTTACGGTTAAAAAAGAAAAGGTACAGAAAAATTAGGTTGAGTTTTCGGCATATTTCACCGCATTTTATAAAAACTAGCCTTTTGTACAATTCGTAAGGTTATACTTTTTCTAAATAGTAGTATAGTTTATCCTAGAGTTTGAGGTATCACATATATATCGAAAACAAAACCTATAGACCTCACCCGACAAATTTGGTCAAATTTAAATGAAACTCCCTTAATTATTTCTTTTATTACTGGTTATCAGATTTCGCCCTTGTGGTTTCTCTGCCACCAAGCAGAATGTATGAGCATATCATTTGGCACTCACCACAACCATGTACCTCTTTCTAAGCACTACCACTTCCCTTGCAAATTTTAACAATGCGCGTTCACCATAATTCCAGCGACTGGTCGCTGTCTCCCTTAACATTTGCTAGAAGTTATACCTAAATATTTCCTGATAACACTTTATACAGGGTGTTTTCGACCCAAAAAAAGCCGTAATTATATTTTTTAATCTCCAGAACAGAATTCTTGATTTTCTTACTAAATATGGCAGAAATAATTGATATCTAGAAACCACACATATGCTTGACGTTTGTTTAGTTTGGGTTATATTGCCCGTGAGTGACCAAATGGTCGCGCTAGGCATTTGCACTACACAAGAATTCAAAATTTCTTAACTTTTTATTTTAAACTTTACAGTTTCGAGAAACAATACTGAAAAAGACAACTTTAGCCAATACAGATACTAGTGCTGAAAACTCTGTGCGCAGAAACCGCACGTTGTTCACTGGGTGCGCACGGGGCTGCTGCGACTGTGCGCTGCATACCACCGCCTCCTGTTCCCCATGACATTAACTACTAGGAATAACTAAGCGCGCGAGTCGGTCGAAGCTTAAGTCAACAACGACTCGGCCGTTTGTTTCTCGTGTACACGGTTTTCTTGCCCCTCTGAGCCTCTTCTGACATTGCTAAGGAAGTTCTGTGCTACATCTCTCCAAGCATCTAATCAGTGGTAATCTGTTGTTGACGGCAACATTACAAAACCAGGAAAAATATGGCCGCCATAATTTTTTCACGCAAATGTTTGAGCTGGCTGCACCAGGACGACCGTAGTATTCAATCATACTCCTTGTGTAGTTGAGCTGGCACTGAGCTTTAATGCGTTGAGCACATTGGCCTTCAGAATGTCCATCAAAGGTCGTAACTTTGCCATCTCGTCATTTTTTTTTTTAAAGATTGCATTATTAGCAAAATGCAGAAATGGGATCAGGAGCTTGTATCTACGTATAGCATTGGGTATTATTGTATTGCGCATGTCATCAATACTGCCCGATTGGCATTATTTGACGGGATGTTCTTGGCTCCCTTCAATGTCTGTACTCCAGAAAAGCACCCAATTTTATAAGAAGATACCTCAAGATCAGCCAAATTACAAAATAACACCAAAGCGTACTCACTCGTTTTCTGTGCCAAGGATACAACGACAGTGTCGTCAAAACCAAAAGCGCAAAGAGCAAGTAAAACGTTTCAGTAGAAAGTATACCAGGAAATACGGATGAATGTAAAGCGCCGTTCGCACTACTGCAACTGAGTAAGAGCGACAGAGACAAGACCGGTTTTTAAGCCTTTTTCGACGGCTTAGAACCTGTTCCACAGCAGCGCATCTGGATTTACGCCGTCGCAAGAGGCTTAAAGGGACAATGAAGACGATTTTATTTAATTTTTTTAAATGGTGTTTTTATGCTTCTTGGGAACATAGCATGCTGCCCAATTTTTCGTAGACATTTGTGACGCGTATTTTCGTGCCTACGAAAGAAGTAAAGAAACCGAAACTGAACAATCTCCGTTCTCGTTTCTGGGCCTCCGAAAACGGAGGTGAGGTAGGGAGTGACGTCAAGTGTGAATAGTTGGTATCGGTAGCATTTAGGAGATCGAGACTCTGGTTGCCGCGGTGGGTTATAGCAGCGCGGTGGTGCGGTCGTTTCGCCGAATCTGTCACCATCGACGGCAATGCCGCTTTCGCGAGCGAGTTCGAGCTTCCGTTCAGTTACCGAACACCAACGGAACGGGAGTACGTGTGTGGCGGCCTCTGCCATCACCCGACGGAGACCGCCCAGCCGGCAACCAGCGGCCCGCATGCCGAAGGACGGACGCGGGGGAGACGCGGAGGGGAAAGCGGCAGCGATCCCGGCGTTCCGGGATCCGGTTTCTCCGCGGACGTCCTCTTTTCGTCGTCAAACAACACAAAACTAGCTTCGCCCGAACGAATACTGGTCTTCAGTCGACCGTTGGAACAGCCATCTACAGCTACCATTTTGCAGAATCCTTCCAGTACCGTGTTCTTTTTTTATTTTATTTTGTTTGCCCATAGTTGTTCGTTGCCCGCTTCGCGTCCAGCGTAGCAAAGCAAAAAACAATTATACTGCTTTATCTGTGGTTTAGTAATCATTTTCGGTCTGATTTATACTTTTCATGGTTATTCAAGCGGAAAGTAGAACAGTATTCCTAAAAAATCGCGAACCAAAACGTGACTGAGGGCACGTTTCTCGTTTCGACCAATCGCTGACGCGTCTCTTGTGACGTCGCGCTTCTTGGCCATAGAGTAATATACACAAGGTAAAGAGCGGACACTGCCATAGGCCCCAGCGGCCCAGATAGAGCAGTGACAACTAGCGCTCTTAGCGGACGGTATGAAACACAATCTGGTTCCGGTTCCGGTCAAGTTAGTTTCGGTTTCGGTTTGGGCATTTTCGTTTCGGTTTTTTGGTACCCTTCTCCTTCTCTTTTTCTCTCTTTCTTTCCTTCTCGCCTCCCTCCTCGCTAGGCTCTCGGGAGCTCCTTGGCTCCGGAGCCGATGATTCTTTTTTTTTTGTTGTTTTTATATTATAAGTTTTGCAATATACGATATAAGTTTTGCAAAATGTGTAATGTGTCGAATAAAAGTTCAACTTATTGAACACATTGAAGTACATAATCGCCACATTGACTCCTGGCTGGTGGAGCATTTTGGGAGGTTTTGGGGTCAACAACAGTAAGTGGTTTGAAAACATTTTATTGGACCACATTCATATGTACATTATTTACTTCAGAAGCTCTGAATGTTTTATAAGAAATAGATAATCACAAAAATAAATGAGTATGAAGGAGTTCGGCATATCGTACACTTCGTAATAGATTTTTAGCGGAGTCAAGTTTACAAAAGCTTTCCACAGGGAACATGCTGAATGATCCATTCACCTTCACGCCGACTCGGGCACGGTAAGTAAGTGCAGAAATAAACAAGACATCGCTATCATTACCAGGCGAAGCACACACCGGATAGTACAAATTCCAAATTACCGGCTAATATAAAACACACGAAATGGCATAGCCTGAAACTCGCTGCGGGTGAGCCATTACAAAAAAAAACAAAAAAACAATGAGAACTCTATTCGGAATCTGACAAGATTCAACCATAGATATTCAACCATGATTCAACGTCCCTAAACATTCCCCGAAATACATTTGTTCAGGACAGGAGTATTACTTCAGAAAAAAAAACGTCCAAAAAATATAGACGGGTACAGAAGTGGACACATTTTCTTCCAAACATCTATGCCTCTATAAACTATTTTCTATAGAAATTCTGCAGAAAGTGGATAAATATTTGTGTAAGGGGGCCGTGATACACATTTCCTGGAAATAAAGAAAACACATGTTTGGAGTGCAAGCTACACTGCCCAATTAATAAGCAATTTCTGTTTTTGATTTGGCAATCGCCTCTGTTAATACGCTATTAAGCTATTAACAGTTAAACTTATCAAGTTGCTTACTAGCAACCGAAGAGTGTAACCGAACTTTGACCAAGTTCCGGTTAAGGAACCGAACATGCCAACACAAGCGTATTCGGCAAAACATTTTTAAAAACCTTTTGTGACACTCCTCTGAGCAAAGGCTGAAACCACCCAGCTCTGAGAGTGTGTGATACAAGGCAGCACACACTCCTCGAACATGCGCTACACTCTCTATTACGGCAAGAAAGTGATTTTCTAGTTTCTGAATAAAGTTAAAGGCAGCCTGTGATGGTACTACTAGGTTTCCGAAGAGTTTCCCAGGCACGTGGTATGCTTTAAGCATAAGAAAATACCGGTGAGGCCTGGTCAAGTTGTCAGACTCATCCTTTAGCAGCTTAGAACAGTCACAGCTGCGGGTTGTCTGTTCAAGGAAAAGTTTGATCAAATAGCCTCCAACGTAGTAAGTGCACGAGTCGTCAATTATATTAGACCTGATGTCTGATGCCAGCTCAGGAATATCTTCTAGTGGCGGGAAGTTATCAACTGGAAAACATTCCACATTGTCTGCAATGGAACTTTCATGGTGCGAAAATATTGGCAACTCCTTGAGGAGGTCACCCTTTTCATCCTCTACATTTCCATTGTTAGAGAGTCTGAACAGTTTTTTTATCCCGATGTGTTTCAGTCCCGAGGTGAACTGATTCACATTTGGGTTTGTATTGCAGCCCAGCATTTGTCTTATTGCCCCAAAAATGTTCTCCAGTGGGTCTTGCTGCAGGCGTCGAGTAAGTAAGAATTTAAAGTCATAGCTGTTTGAAAGCTCATCCCAGAGCATGAGGACACTCCTTATTGTAACTTGCCACCCTATGGTGGTTTGTGGCTGCCTCCTACTTTGGAACTTCCATGTTGAAATCCATGCGAGTTGTTGGTGAAGGAAATCGAGTATCTCAGATTCTCCTTTCAAAATTGCATGACGCAACTTCTGCCCCGTCTTCTTGAATTGCGAGCTATTTAAACAATCAAAAAGTCTGTCCATTCTATCACAAAAATAGGCTGTAGCCATGGCTGCCTCAGGAAGCTCCTTGGCATAAACAAGGGATAGAATGGCAAGACAGACTGAGGCACTCAGGACCTGTGTGGCACGCTTTACTTTCATGTTACTGAAAGGTTTTTGAAAAATGTGCCTCTCAGTAAGTTTTGGAGCCAATCGCAACCTCATCTCATGAGTAGAACGATAAAGTTCAACAATATGGGACCATTCAATGACCTCATCCCCAATGCAAAGTTTGTGGGCTTGGAGATTGTTTCTTGTTGTTTTGATGAGGTGCGGAACATCAAAGATAAAGTAAACACGTTCGTTGTCGACTTCAAAAAATGGCTTATCAGCAGATACACCAAGTTGGTTGGCTAAGCTTACGTTTGAAGCCCCCTGATCACAGACCACGGCCTTCACAGTGAAGTCAACAGTCTTAAGCTCTCGAATGAGAGAAATCAGGAGGCTCCGGATAACAGAAGACGGTGTTGAAGTGTGCCCAACAGTGTATGCGAGGGGCTGAACCCACCTCCTGGAAATTCCAGAGAGCACAACAACCAGGGCTCTATCTGCAATGGTCGAGGTTCGTTCAACACCGTCATCTGTAAATCCATGGATAATGTCGTGTGCAGGGTCGTATGTCAAGTTCTTCTTCAAAACAATCTCATCAAAAATCAAGGTGCAGACACGATCACGTGCATTCCAAGACCGCGTTTGAGATTCGATGGAGGACATGACACCAGGTATAATACCAGGAGTCATTTTTACGTTCGACAGCCACCTACGCAGTGAACGCTGAGTGGGAAGCGTTAAATGTAACGATAGAAAACGGTATGCCTGTGGGCCATGAAAGTTCAGATGCAAAGCAAACTTCTTGAGCCACAGTGGAAACCGTTTTCCTCGTCCCTTGCGCCCTAATTTTACATGTGACGAGATAAGTCCGAAAACCTCGTCTGTCACAAACGGACGCACCATTTCAAGTGCTTCGGCAGCTGTTTGAGGCATTTGCTTCTGTTGCTTGCGCAGTCTTGATATTGTCTTTCTGTAACTGGAAACCTTTGCTTGTAGGCGTTTTATGACGTCCCTGGGCCTCCTTGAGAGCTTGGCGGAAGCAGGTGTTGAACGACCAGAGCCTGCCAAAACAATACCGAAAGCACATAAGTCAGGCTACACAAAAATGATAAAAGTAGAACCCGACAGAAACGATACCGCCAAATACCGACCACTTACCCATGCTGCAATATGTGCCCCCTTCCCCCCCCCCCCCCCCCGCCACTTTCGAAACGTTTGCGAAATAAACAAAGCACGTATCAATGTCCAACTCCAGACTTAAAAACCCACCCACCTAACATAAATGCTCATCCGCTTCAGCTGCTTCTCCAAGCACACCAATGTAAAAGGTGAAGCTCGACACGTGCACGGGCCTCCAAAGTGGTGACCCCCCTTCCCCCCAACCTTTGGCTGTTCTGCAATTTTGCTTTCGGGCATAAGAAGCATACATCTCTGCGTTTTTCATGATTATCTCCAAATTGTGAGTGGGTATTTGCTCCGCATGTTCTGTTACCACTGTTTATACACAAATGGCTGCTATCAGAAAAAAAAATTAAACTAGCTTTTAGTCTTTCAGCTGGAATAATTTCACCACAAAAACTGTATTAACATAAATTGATGAATCTTTCAAATATTGAATAATCGCGTAGTCAATCACTACATTCAACAGGGTCATCCAAAATGAGAACTGTATGTAACAGGATTGGCAAATTACTACAGTAAGCACAGATTACTAGGAAACCACCCCTTTTCAGAGCATTTCACGGTGCCACACTTCAAAGCTTATGTTCCCCGTCACCTAGAGCCCTGTAGTGATGTTCCAAGTTATTAAGGCCAGCACAAAAATGAAGTGACAAATAATGTCACCTAATTTGAAGCAATGTGCATACTAAATGCAGAGGTACTTAACACAATTTTGCAGTGCTTAAATCTGTAGAGAAGTCAATTTATACTCACAGGTTCCAGATGATTCAGAATAGCCAACAGACGAAGATGGAGTGCTGTGGTCCAAAAGCTGGCCAGGAGAGCTGGCCATCCCCATTTGCTCTGGAAAATGTGTCACTGTTAAATACGAATGTTTGCATAAACCCAATTTGTGTAGGAGATTTATTTTACCACATGCCGCTATGGAATGTGACGCGCTGGTACCCTCCAGTGAAATACCACAGGGGCTTGTCGCCATCGGTTGTTCTGAAAAACGGTTGCTTGTCAGATATGAGCAGCTGTTTTAAAAAAAATGATCTCACCATGAGCAGCTGCCGAAGGTGACGTTCCACTGCCTTCCATTCGAACATCCCCGGGGCTTGGTTCCGCCATCGGCTTTTCTAAAAAGGGCTTCCTTGTCAGATATGAGCCGCTCATTTAAAATAAATAATCTCACCAGAAGCTGCTGTGGGATGCGACGTTCTGCTTCCCTCCAATGGAACGTCACAGGGACATGTCGCCACCGGTTCTTCTGACAAATGTTTGGTTGTCAGCTATGAGCAGCTGTTTTAAAAGAAATGATCTCACCATGAACAGCTGCCAAAGGTGACGTTCCGCTGCTTTCCATTGGAGCATTCCCTGGGCTTGGTGCCGCCATCGGCCCTTCTGAACGACATTTGCTTGTCAGGTATGAGCCCCTGTTTTAAAAATAAATGATCTCACCACGAGCAGCTGTTGAAGGTGACATTCCACTGCCCTCCAAGGAAACATTACCGGGGCTTGGTGCCGCCAGCGGTTGTTCTGAAAAACGGTTGCTTGTCAGATATGAGCAGCTGTTTTAAAAGAAATGATCTCACCATGAGCAGCTGCCAAAGTTGACGTTCCACTGCCCTCCAATCGAACATCCCTGGGGCTTGGTTCCGCCATCGGCTTTTCTGAAAAGGGCTTCCTTGTCAGATATGAGCCGCTCATTTAAAATAAATAATCTCACCAGAAGCTGCTGTGGGATGCGACGTTCTGCTTCCCTCCAATGGAACGTCACAGGGACATGTCGCCACCGGTTCTTCTGACAAATGTTTGGTTGTCAGCTATGAGCAGCTGTTTTAAAAGAAATGATCTCACCATGAACAGCTGCCAAGGGTGACGTTCCGCTGCTTTCCATTGGAACATTCCCTGGGCTTGGTGCCGCCATCGGCCCTTCTGAACGACATTTGCTTGTCAGGTATGAGCCCCTGTTTTAAAATAAATGATCTCACCACGAGCAGCTGTTGAAGGTGACATTCCACTGCCCTCCAAGGGAACATTACCGGGGCTTGGTGCCGCCAGCGGTTGTTCTGAAAAACGGTTGCTTGTCAGATATGAGCAGCAGTTTTAAAAGAAATGATCTCACTATGAGCAGCTGCCAAAGGTGACGTTCCACTACCCTCCAATGGAACATTCCCGGGGCTTGGTGCCACCATCGGTCCTTCTGAAAGATGTTTGCTTGTCAGGTATGAGCCCCTGTTTTAAAATAAATGATCTCACCATGAGCAGCTGTTGAAGGCGACGTTCTGCTGCCCTCCAATCGAACATCCCCGGGGCTTGGTTCCGCTATTGGCTTTTTTGAAAAGGGCTTCCTTGTCAGATATGAGCCGCCAATTAAAAATAAATAATCTCACCATAAGCTGCTGTGGGATGCGACATTCTGTTTCCCTCCAATGGAACGTCACAGGGGCATGTTGTTGCCACCGGTTCTTCTGAAAAATTTTGGCTTCTTAGATATGAATACCTGCTTATAAAGCTTCTGATGGAGAATTCCTGCTACAGGCGAATGATAGGTTAGTAGTGTTACCTTTCAAAGGAACAGAAAATATTCAGCACTCTGAAAGGGCATTGAAATCCCTTAGTGATGAAAATTAATGTTGAGCAATATTAATCAATGGCGAAACACAGGATCCGGCGGGTCTTGAAAAGGCACTTAGGAATCTCGGAATATCTTAAATTTTAACGGCCCGGTATGCTAATGTATGAGAACATAACAGCATGGGCAACTAAAGCTAACCTTGTAAACATGAATGTCAGGAAGATGACTCAGACGGCATGAGTCCTCTTGTCGAATTGGATATGAACAGGGGAACGTTGACCTGCCTTATCTTTCATTTATATCACTATTGTATGCTACAAACCTAGGATGCCCTGTAAGAAGTCATACTGCACTGGCAGAACTGCCCTTCTTGATTGCAGGACACAAATTACTGTATTTCAATGCAGCTGACCTTGTGCTTTAAAACAATTTTCCAACAAACTGGGACGGATATTGGTTATGGGCAACAGTATGCGCAGGGACATTACAGGGATAATGTACAAAAATGCTAAATGAATTAGATAAAATATTTAAGCACAAACTAATAATAAAAACTAATTAAATCAGATTAAAACTTTTGAGACTGTCAAGCATCGTTGACAGCATGCTGGCAGCTGGCATCAGTGACGTAGAGTTGGTGCTGCCTAAAAGCAAAATATAACAGAACTCCGTACAGACTGCAAATAAAGATTATGTTACCTTGGGCTGTTACAGATGGCCTAAGCATTTGCGGCCGAACCGTAGGGATAGCCGTTTTGGTCAGCCTTGTCTTCCCAGGATCCAAAAAGTCCTTGGCTGTGAAATGCTCACTACACAGGCGATACCCCTCATAGAGCTCCTTGGCTGTCTCTCCTAGGAGCTCAGGACGTCTGGCGTACTGTAGCCATGCTTTTGACCTGCAGAACATTGTATATACCACCAAGGTTACACATACTGTAAGGGTCAAATAAACTCCAAATATATGAGCCTCAATTGTTTTTAATGTTTCACTGCCGTTTGGTATGGCACCTCTCAGCAAAGTGTTCACGTTCTGAAGAGTTTGTTTTTCTTCTTCATGCTACGGTACAGTGCAATACAGCTAAACAAACAGATTGCATACCCACCAGGGTATGCAATCAATTTAGGCCCGAGGCAAGATAACCTTAAAATGCTGAAAGATATCGGTGTCCATAAACCAAAGTGACATGGAAGAAATCGTTTTTGCTATAGTTTGTTGCAACCTAAGACCGAAGGGCGAGGGTAAGACGGGCCGGGGAGGAGGGAGCAGACGGAACGCTGGAGAAGAAAGGGGAAACCTCCTTCTCTCCTTAGCGTTTCGTGTTCCGTCTGCTTCCTCCTCCCCGGCCCGTCTTACCCTCGCCCTTCGTTCTTAGGTTGCAACGGACCATAGTTCTCATTTCAAAATGTTATGCTTCGATCAAATGTTGTAAGGACTGCCTTAGAATCTATACGTACCTTGGGTCACGTGGAATTCGAAAAAACTTGACATGTGGCTTCTTTGTTTTCCCATTGTTGGCACACCAGACCACGCAGCAGTAACTTCCGTAGGACATAATCTGGGCCAGCGGGGGAGGGAGAGTTTAACATCTACTGAAGCCTAGCCAATGGCGCGTTCCTTTAGTTCAACGGAAGGTAGCACAATAGCGGCTGGTGAAAAAATAAACTGATGGAGATTTAAACAATGTCACAAGATATTGCCATGACGCAATGTTACAATAAACCCATGACACGTATTAACACAGACGGGTGAAAGAAATATTGTGAACTTTGTGAAGTTTACGCAATCTTCATGCATCATAATCGAACGCAGTGTCTAGAGTGCCATGCCACAGCACTCCAACCAAGTGTTCAAGTGACGTCTGACTGGTTTTACCCAACGTTCGAATGTCATCCTTAAGAGTAAAACAGGAATTTAAGCATAGTACAGCGGTACGGCCAAAATAAGTAAGACTAATCTACCTCTACTGTTTCTGGTAAATTGGCCGTCAATATTTTGAATTTTGCTTTCTTACATAGAAAATAATGTCAGCGAACCATAGACCTAAATTTCGAGCTCCATTTGGTGATGTAGCGATGCAGTGGGAACCATGTTTGAATAGTCCTCCGTACATTCTCAGAGTGTCCGAAAGTTCCATGGATGTCCTATCCTGGATGTCCCGTGGACGTCCATAGGATATATATGCTGCTTGGGAACTTTATTAAATATCTAAATTTGATACTGCGTCTCGCAGTTTTTTCCCCCGAAATTCTATGCATGTGTTTGTCGTCGTAACTGCAGCATACTGCAGCTCGTATGGCGGTACACACAAGTTATGTAGCTCGCTTGAGCGACGTTCGCTGGTTCGCTTCTTTTGCACGTACTTTATGTGATAAATCAAAGCAGCGACGCGCCATTGAAAGAATGCATGTCAAAATATCAATATGACTCAATGGACACCTTGCCCCGAATTCGTCGCACTGCGAACGACTGTCGACCCAGCTTTAGTCAGTGAATTAACTTCAATATATGACGGCATAAGTCCTCTCAACAGCAATCCACAGATGTCTGATGGCACTTGAACACGCATGAACAAAGCTCTGCCCGAGGGGCGTCGGACGGCAACCCAGACTCAACAAATTCAAAAGCCAGCTTTACAACACAGTCGAGAGACAAATGAGCAAAACGACTTACCTTTTGTTTAAAAATCTAGGTCCAGGCAGCCCGACGGAAACACGAGAAGCTCAAGCCATATCAAGCCGCTCAGCTCTACAAACTCACGCCGAGCATGAGAGCACGCGGCGGTCATTCGTCACTTTGTTTCAAGCAAAGTCGACCGAACACGCTGTAGCATAAAACGGAGAAGAACGGCACGGACGGCACGGACGGTACGGCACGGACGAACGAAGCACGGACCGCACGGACGAGCAGAGGTGACGGCGTGCAAGCAGACAGGCCATGGCAGGCGCCATTCATCACGTGGTTTTTGTGACGTATTTGATTAACACTATTTAGTCCTTTTAAGTACTTTAAAAAACTCTAAAGCATAAAAATTTAGAAAATAAATACTTTTCAGAGAGAAAGCTGTAATTAATATTAACCAAATTACGGAAAAGCGCCACGTAGCGGAGGGTATGAATCCTACTATCTGGGCCGCGAATCGGCTTCAGTGTCCTCTCTTTACGTTTACTATATTACTCTATGTCTTGGCCCCGAATCGATCACGTGAGCTCCGCTTCTCCTGGCTTCTCCCGCAACTCTCGGGGCGTCGCTCCAGTCGATCCCGGTACGATTATTACCGCGACTGTTTAATTGATTTGCGCGGCATAGAAGCGCCGGTTTCGGCTGAAATTTGGGCAGCGTGACATGAGACGTGCCTGGAACCCAGTTCAATCGCCAAAAAGATGTCCGAAATTGCCTTCATTGTCCCTTTAAAAACCAGTCTTGTCTCTCTCAGTCGTACTCCGTTGCACGTGTGGGAACGGGCCTTAAGTCGCCCCTCGTATATCGGAGAGTGCGTGGATTATTTGGGCGGGTTCCCTGTTCCTGAATTCCAGAACTCCACGTAGAGCCACCCATTTCATGGTCTTATTTTTCTGTGGTATTAAGGCTCGTTCACACTCTTGCAACCGAGTACGACCGAGAGAG